TGCCTCCCCGCTGCAGCTTCTTGGGGCAGCGCAGCTGCAGCTGAAAAGCTGGGAAGCTGCAGCTGCGCCAAACAGAGCCTCAGAATAGCAAAAACCATTGGCGTTTTTTTATTAGGAAACAAAGCTTTTAAAATCCATGAAGGTTGTGTTTAATTTGATCAAAAAAATAATGCAGTGTAAATAAAATAAATGACTTCATAATCTTTTATATGATTTTAAGTAGGTAGAAATTAATGCATTTCAAAATATTTGAGATATTCATATAAATTATTGGCGGCGGTGGTGGCGGGAACAGGTGGCCAGCGACGACAGACAATGGCTGTGGCGATCAGTTTCATAATCTTTTATATGATTTTAAGTAGGTAGAAATTAATGCATTTCAAAATATTTGAGATATTCATATAAATTATTGGGGGCGGTGGTGGCGGGAAGAGGTGGCCAGCGACGACAGACAATGGTTGTGACAATCGGTGGTGATTTCCGTTAATAGAGGTAGTGTCGCCTGATAGTGGCGGCTGATGAGGTGGTGGGGATAGATGTCGGTTGCGGTCAAAAACGACGGCCGATGGTAATGTTTGGCAATGTTGGCTCAATGTGGGCGTCTGGGGCTTCTAGCTACAGTGGAAGTCAACGACATGGTTAGCAATGATGGGGTTTGTTGTCGATAACCGACAACAGTGGCAGCTATCTATGGTGCCAAACGACAACAATGTTTAAATATGGTGGCAACTAACGATGATAGCGACCACGATAGCGACCATCATTGATCACAACCGACGAGGATGGCGGGAAATGCTGCCGACCAGCGAACAAATTCTAAATTCATTCATATTCGCATTTCATTCATATTTGCATCAAATTTCTAATCCATCCAACCAAACACCTAAAATTTTAAAGAACATTTTTAATTTTTTTTAAAGAACATTTTTTAATTCTTCGCGAACAACGAGCTTTTTTGACAGCCCTAGTATCTCCAATATATGAGGGAAAACTATTATGTCTTGACTCCTGACACCAGTAGGTAGTAAGTGAATAGTTAGAAATATTCTGTCTGGTCTTATAAAAATATTATTCGTATTATTTATAAAAAATAAAATATTATTATTATATTATATGGTGTTATTTTATTACTTTACGGTCTTATTAAAATATTCACAGTTTTATTTCAATTTACACTATATTATGGGAATAACACAGCCTCAAATCAAGTAACGCGGGGAATATTTCAATAACACTTTAGTCTCAAATCAATTAACGCGGAAGAATATTTCAATAATACCGCAAAGTAATTGAATAACACTATATAATACTCGAATAACACTATTTTTTTACAAATAACGCAGATAGAATATTCTTGTAACCCAACAGGATATTCCTAATTATTACAATCCGAACGTAGCTCTACGTTCAGAATCTTGAGGTAATATTCTCTCTGTAGGGCGCTCCCTGAAATTCCTCATCAAGGACTACGGGTGACAACAAGGACGTACCAGGCAGCTAATTCATACTGGTCAAGCTAAGTCGGATCCGAAGCAGATTAAGATCAATCAGACAAGTCAAAAAGTAGCCAGACGACAGACTTACGCATGTAAAATACCAAAAATATCTTCCCAGTGTAAATCTATTTAAAGTATGAGCAACAACGTAATATCATCACTATGCAATCTCTCTTCTATCAATAAATGAATCATTTTATGAATAAGATATAATTAATCATCTTGGGTGCGATTCAATGAATCGCATAGTCGACACAAATTATCTTGTTTGAATCCAACTCAGTGATCCAACTATCAGGTTGATTGCTAATTGAGTTTGAATTGACTTGGGTTAGCACAACTCATTCTAATGAAAACATGAAAAGCTGGGAAGCTGCAGCTGCGCCAAACAGAGCCTCAGAATAGCAAAAACCATTGGCGTTTTTTTATTAGGAAACAAAGCTTTTAAAATCCATGAAGGTTGTGTTTAATTTGATCAAAAAAATAATGCAGTGTAAATAAAATAAATGACTTCATAATCTTTTATATGATTTTAAGTAGGTAGAAATTAATGCATTTCAAAATATTTGAGATATTCATATAAATTATTGGGGGCGGTGGTGGCGGGAAGAGGTGGCCAGCGACGACAGACAATGGTTGTGACAATCGGTGGTGATTTCCGTTAATAGAGGTAGTGTCGCCTGATAGTGGCGGCTGATGAGGTGGTGGGGATAGATGTCGGTTGCGGTCAGAAACGACGGTCGATGGTAACGTTTGGCAATGTTGGCTCAATGTGGGCTTCTAGCTACAGTGGAAGTCAACGACATGGTTAGCAATGATGGGGTTTGTTGTCGATAACCGACAGCAGTGTCAGTTATCTATGGTGGCAACCGGCAACAATGATTAAATATGGTCGCAACTAACGACGATAGCGACCATCATTGATCACAACCGACGAGGATGGCGGGAAATGCTGCCGACCAGCGAACAAATTCTAAATTCATTCATATTCGCATCAAATTTCTAATCCATCCAACCAAACACCTAAAATCTTAAAATTCCTACAAAAATGAAGGCATTACATTCCTTTTACTGCCAACCAAATAACCCCTCAAGGCATTTTGAACGAGAAAGGAAATGATCAAGTTTCAAATGTTTAAATGGACATTATTTCATATTAAAATTTTGTTTGGAAAAGTGGACAAGATTTGAGGGTTATTAAAGAGCATTTTTAATTTTTTTTACATTCTAATTTTGTTTTAATATTATTTTATTTATATCTTATTTTAAATAAAATATATTTCACAAATTTAATTAAAAAACAATTGTTTTAAAAACACTCAAAACATTAGTTTTTTTTTCTTCAAATTTTTAAAAATAAATTAATTTAATTTTAAAATAAAAATAAAAACACAAAAATTAAATAAACATGTTTTGAGCAACAAAGTAAATAGAAATTGCAATAACATTTAATAATTTATACTTGCATCTTTAATTTTATTATATATTTAAGTGTTTATTATATTAATTTTATTTAAGACGAGAAAATGAGTCGAGTCAAAGTTAGCTCAAACTTGACTTGTCTAACTCGATGAATTCAACTCATTAGTTAACTATCAAGCCAAGCCATAGCGTAGGCTTGGCTCACTTGGCATAAATATATGGCTTTCTTATTTTCATACTTTTAGATAAAAAATAACAATATCATGCCCTAAAATTTTAATTTAAATTCATATTCAAAATGTTTAAAAATGAATTATCCTTAAGTAAAAATATTTATAATAAATTAGTAAATATTATATAATGAATTTATTGAAAATTGAACTAACATACTAGATATTAAAACTAAAAATTTTCCTACTGCGACCGTAAGCAAAGCTTTCTACGATTGCCCAATTAAAATCATCCCCACGCATAAAGTATATATTATATAATGAATTTATTGAAAATTGAACTAACATAATAGATATTAAAACTAAAAATTTTCCTACTACGACCGTAAGCAAAGCTTTATACGATTGCCCAATTAAAATCATCCCCACGCATAAAGTATATAATAATGGGTTTAATTTTAAAAATTATAAATTTATTAAATTAAATATTAATTACGTGACTTGAGCTAATTAGAGTCCGTACCTGTATCGACGACATCCTTACAAAAAAAAAAAAAAAAGGCTCCACACCAACAGGAGAAAAATTTGCGTACGTCAGACAGGTTACAGGGAAGGTATTAAGGGTCATATCCGCATTATATCCCATGTAACCTCTCTGTAACATACTTATAACTTACAAATATATGAAAAGAGAAGCGTGAAACTTACTAATTACAAATAGTTTATAGAGAGATTACAGGGGTATAACGCAAAAATAACCCTCAATACCTTCACTGTAACCTACTTTACGTACGTAGCGTTTTGTAAGCCAACAGAGTTTTTTATAACAATTATACCAAAAAAATTCACAGCAGACTTTATTGTTGAAACAAATAATATTAATAAACAGTGCTTAAAGTTTAAGCTCAGTACCTGCCATTCAGTCACACCACCTGTCACTTGTATTTCTCATGCATACCAGTCGATTCTTATGTTATTGCATAACTACCACCAAAATTTTACTTTTCTTACATTTATACCATTCAAATCATTTATATAACATAAGAAATACCACTAATTTAACATTTCAAAACCGAAATACAAATTTTATTGCATAGATAAGATGACATATATTTACAAATTGAGGTTTAAATGTTAGACAGACAAATTCATAATAATTGAGTGGTATATATGTAAATCTTTCTCCTGCTTTCTGTTTTCTGTTTTGAAGGCTGCATGATATAAGAATCTCTGCGGCTCCTTCAGCAGCAGTTCAGCAATTGCAGTAATGAAAAATGCCTTCTGAAAGGATTAGATAAAGAAGATAATTTTCTTTGGGAGCATTTACATACACGCCACAAAATTCCAATATCTCTACGTATCTAATGTCTTAACATTCATATTTATACGAACTCCGCACAAGATTTTAATATTACATAAAAAACATCACAATCATTATGTTTTTTTAAAAGTGAAATACATGGTAAATAACAAATTTTGGGAGCAAATTTGTAAATACGTAAAAATTGTGTGGTCGGTATGTAAATTTCCCTATTCTTTTATTTTAGTTAAATAGAATTTTTCAAATGGGATCACCAATATGATGGAGATGAACTCGCGAGCTGCGGCAGAAAGAAATCCTTAAATCCATCTCATAACTCGTCCTAAAAGAGACGAACACGGGAAGAAAGGAAGGAACTCGAAAAATTTAGATTTATCGGAACTTTGGAATTAATTTTCGGTTTTTAATGTTTGGATGGATTTATGCTAAATTCATGGCAAAATCCTCTTTAAATTATGCTATCATGCACTGCCTAAGTTTAATGAAGCGGGTTCAATCAAGGGAACAATGTGCGTTTGGAAAAATTATTGTATCCGGATTTGCGTCTGGAGTCCAGTGAAAACATGCACATGGCAAGTGGGCCCCACATCTTTTAAAAATCACTCATAACCAACATATTATAGTGGGGCCCACTTGCCACGTGACAAGTTTTCACTGGACTCCGGTAACAAATTTGTGTCCGGAGTCCGGATGGAACATTCTCTCCTGCATTGGAAGATGGAAGCAAATTTTACCTAAAAATCGATGCTTAGTTTCCTGTCTATTGTAGAGAAACTTCGGAAGAAGGCCATGAAGTGTCTGTAAGCAGTATCCACGTCTTCTTTCCCACATATTTCCCGCACGCTGCAAATAGTTATACAATATCCAGCAAAATAGAGATTAATACTTAAGTATCACTCATGCGTGCATCAACTTGGGAGTTTTAGACATGGAATTCATCACAGGAAGCATTCTCTCTAAAGGGGAAAAAATAGACAAAAAGAGCTTTAAATGGAATTCAGGGAAATTTACATAAAAACCACACAATTCTTATATTTACATATATAAAACCAAAATTACAATCCTATACAGGAAAAGGTGTATTTCATTCTTAAAAAGATAGGGATGGCGGTGTTCTTGATGTGATATTAAAGATTTGAGTGGCTGCATGTAGATATGAATGTAGATATGAATGTTTACGGTCATGCACTTTTACTACAACTCTAGATTAGCAACTATCTATGAACAGCTAACATAACATTTTCAAGCAAAAACATAACATTTTCTTCATCAACATAATATAGAAAATTTTTTCTCCCTTCTAAGTACAAAAAGAGATGAAAGAGCTTCTTAAAAAAAAGCTTCATTCAATATTATGTGTTTCAAGAGCTCTCAGAAGACAACAAATTATCAATTACTCTGTAAGGCTTTCAAATCAGATATAAAAAACTCTAACAAATTTTTTTAAAAAAATTGCTTTCATCTATAGATTAAAGTGAGATATTTTAGAAGGAAAACAATTTGCACAATTATGGTAATTTTACATGGTCTATTGAGCCTTTAATATAGCCAAAGCATCAAATCATTTTTCTATCCCAACATTCAATCTAATATTAAATGAACTACAAAAAATTACCATTTATTCCAAATTAGACTTACAAATCAGCAAGTACCGAGTTTGAATAGTCGAAGAAAACGTTAATAAAACAGTGTTCAAAACAAAAGCACAAAAAGAGCACTACAACTTTTTCCCTCCATACACACACATGCAGCCTTGAAACCAAGACCACTTGTTTGAAAGAAAAAGCACTTAACCATTAATCCAAAGTGGCTTGCAAAAGGGAACTAAAACTATATTGCCATGCCTTTTGTCCGACTAGCATGCCCTTGATGACACCGTTCTAGAACTCCTAGAAGGTATTTTGAGAAGCAGATTTTGTGAGGAGATAATTGTAGAATAGCAAGGAAACAAAATATGCAAGAACAACGATGTTTGAAAGGGGATAGGCGTCATTCAACAGATGTCCTGGCTAAAAACACCAGTCCAATGGCAAATTGGCGAGTTACGGGCGGCGAGGAGGTTCCACCATTTATTCCTAAGCAAGAGACAAATACAAATACAACACTTCCAAAAGGAAAATCACCATTTATTCCTAAGCAAGAGACAAATACAACACTTCCAAAAGGAAAATAATACAACACTCCTTAGGGTAGAAATCAGATATTCCTATCTCCAAAACTCACAAACATAACAAAATCCCCTAAGCAACAAAAAGTTGAACATGATAAAAAAATTTGCCCATAATTAAAAAATCATAATTAGAATAATGAAATAGGAAAACCAAAAAACGAAAGAAAAAAAGAAAAAGAATAAAATAATCTGCTGAAAACGTGAATTGAGCACCCCTTCGCCATGTGATCTCGGCTCCTTGCGATCCCACAGAAACACGGGATTCTATGTTCAGTGAAGCCCGATTCTCACAATCCATGAAGCCTAACTCCCACATTCTGTGAAGTCTGGCTTCCGCATCTTACAAAATCGCGAGCATTCCGTGCCCCGGGAAGGCTCAACATCAGCGTCATTCTCCCGGACTAGGAGAAACTTCTTTTCTTCTGGAAGAACCTGGATCGCACTATCGATTGCCCTTTCCCACTAGACACCTAAGGGGGTATCCAAAACTGTGAATCATCACTCCTATATGGTCATCAGTTTGGGACGACACTACAGCTGAATTAAATATCCAAATTACTCCATATAACTTTCTAGAATAGCCCGAAAGTTTATCATCTCTGATATATTGGACCTGCCTCGATAGTGACAACTTAGGAGGTAGACTGTTTGTCTGAAAATCCTAAAATTCACTTATCCGGTGCCTTGTGTCCAGCATGAGCTCTTCAAACTCATAGACTTCTTGGAAAACTAATGTCAGTGCTATTTATAATCATTTTAACACCAACAAAAAGGTACCTCATAGCAACACATTCTCAAACTATGTATGAACTCTCATTACCTCAAACTCAATGCCCTCTAGAAGAACCAATGATAATCCTGTTGGAGTCTCTCTCATGGGTTTAGATTGAATCACTAGCCTCTCTCACTCATCGACTATAAGATGGTACTCCTCTTCATTCCTCTCCTCTAGGTCATCACCATTTGCCTCCTCTATGACATTCTGCTCACTGAAAAATATCATTTTCTTGTTTGAACAATCTAATGTAATGCGCCCAAAACCATAATACTTAACACACTTCTTGGATGGGACAGATTTGAGGGTGTCGATGAGCTCCCTCCACTCTAAACTAATTTCTCCTTAGATGAGGTCAACATGGATGCCCCACTAGACGTGCTCTTGCTACCGGATTTTGTGACTCAACTCTGCCTGTAAAGCGTGGCAATCGTCTGGTAATGTTATTCTCCACCTTCAGTGTTAGGAGTTGTACAACAAGTAGGGACCAATAATATTGTAGTTGAATCACATTATTACCCCAATCTCTAAAATGTCATGTCACTATGTGCTCCTCTAGTTTCAATAACTCACATTTCAGCATGAGTTGATTAATTTCAGCTCTATACTCCTCCATAGAAATGTCTCTCTGACATAAGTTGTGGACCATTAGGAATATGCCATGCAAGTAATGCGGGGGAAGGTATTTACCATATTTCCCTTTTCATCTTAAACCACGTGATCTTACTCTTACATTCTCACTGTCGAATACACTTCAAATTATCCCACCAAAATGAATTTTTTTTCCTGAGTTTGATAGCTGTCAATTTAACTCTCACCTTGAGAAACATTTTCGTACTAAAAAATTTGGTTTGTTGTTTGAAGCAACTCGATAAACTCATATTGATCCATGTGATTGTCGAAATCCAGTAAATCCACCTTTACTCCAAGTTCCTGGCTTCTCCTCAGATATTTTATGTCAGATTGTCGAGGTAATGGTTTTTCACCATTGGAAACTGTCTAATAGAAGGGATTCACTTCCTCCTTTCAATTAGAGGAGTCACAGTAGCTGCAACGGGTGATCTCATCGAAATGTCTTCGCTGCAACAAACCTCTTCTACAACTGAAAGGTTTCCTACTACATATCCTCCATAGTAAGTTCCAGGACACTTCATTGAGGATTCCTCATTAGCAGGATGGCGTCCTTTCCTCCTGATCAATTTTTCGAAGGATGTAAAATTGTAAATCAAAATTGGTTAAGGGCTTAGGTTTTGATGGTAGGCGTCATGATGAAATTTTAGTGGAGGTGAAAAAGTTGAATTTTAAAAATTTAGGGTTGGGGCTAGGAATTATGGTAGGAAAGATTTGAATATGATGGAAACTTTTTTTCTTTTTTAGGAATTTTGAATTTGGATAAAAAAATAGAACCCTAAAAATCTAGGGCTTGTCGGGCTCTCATAGCAGATGACACCGCTCCAGTGTTCCTAGAAGGCATTTAGGAAGTGGATTTTGTAGGGAGGTAGTTGTGGAATAGCGAGGGAACGAAAATATACGAGGTTGACGACATTTGTAAGGACATACGTGTCGTTCGGCAGTAGTTTTAGCTGAAAACAACAGTCCAACTGCGAATCGAAGAGGACATAGGTATATTTCATACATCCATACATGCATGCATCCATCCACAAATACATTCATATCAACATATACATATGCATATCAACATATATGCATGCATACATTTATCCATACATGCATACACACGTGCACACGTCAATATTAACATAAATGCAATCATACATACATACATGTATGGATTTGAAGTGATTGTAATGTTTGTCAATGATTTCACATTTCATTTAGGGGTCGCTTGGTTGAGTAAATTAGTAGTGTACTGTAAATCTTTTGCATATATTTGAAAAAATTCTATATTTGATATGAAAATTTACAAATACAACGTAAAATTTTAATGAATTTGAAGTTAAACCGTATTTCTTTTTGGTTGAATGTAGCATTTAAACGATTTGGTCGAATTAGAAGTACATCATTCATGTAAAATGTTATAGACAAATCGCCACCGGCCACCGCTCTCAGCTCGTCACTTGCCGCCCCCACCCCCCACCCCCACCCGCCGCCCGCTTGCCTGTCGCCTGCCTCCCTCCTGCCCCCTGTCGCTCACCCGCCGCCCGCCCGCCTACTATTCACTGCTCGTCGCCCTCTTGCCGCCACCTACTCATTGCCGCCCGCCGCAGCTCGCCTCCACGGCCCGTCGTTGCTTGCCCTTTGCCCAAACACATACATTATTTTCAATCTACTTCAAACCAAACAAAAAAATATATAAAGTCCTATGCTCAACTCAAATATTTCAGATATTATTATAATAATACTCTGTAAACCTTTTACATAGCATTGCATTTTTAGCAAACCAGATGACCTGTTATTATATATAAGTATGCATGTATAGTTATATAGTTATGTATTATTATTGCTACATTTTTTCAAAAAAATGTGAACCAAATTAAAGTTAAATTTAACAAAATTTATCGTAAAAGTCAAATAACCAAATTAAAATTTAATCTAAAGATATGTATGTATAAGTGGCTATAAATAAAATAATAAAATAGTTTTAAAAGAACAAACCATGAAGGGGAAGGGAGAGGCTTACAGCGCTTGATAGATCAAATAGGAGGATTTGGTTCTTTGACTTTAGCTAAGGATTTGAAAGAAGAGGAGAGGCTTGCTCAAGGGGTATCCACTGTTGTAGGAGGCAAGCGAGATGAGACAATGCCCTAACCCTTCGGTCTCATATATAGTAAGCAAGGCAGCATATGGTCGGCGATGGGTGTCAAGTGTAAAGGAAAGAAAGATTGTGGAAGCAAGATCGAGAAAGATGCAGCGAGTGTGATCGTGAGATTTGAGCGATCAAGTTATTCATGCGATCAACAGGAGGTGGGCCATGCAACTCATTAACACGAGGAAAAAAAAAGAAGTTTCAGATCTTACAGGTCCTGTGGTCCCTACTAGCTATAATGCATACCTCGACAGTATAATGAACGCTTCATCATACAATATAATTGTCTTCTCTCATTGCACCAATCTAGTGTATTTATCGTACATCTATCTTCATGCAAGTAGAGACACAAATCACTTTAAAAAGTACCACAAAATCCTCCCAATTTACCATCATATTTGGTGTGTCCCAAAGCCTATCCTAATGTTGTCCATGCCACAACAATTCTGCCTCTATTTCCAGCAAAAATGTAGCTAATGGTACACTCCTTTCATCTAGACACGCCATGGTGTCTAGTATGTTTTCTATCTATATCAGTCAATTATTTTCTTCAATCTGACAATCAGTTCCCTTCAAAAATATGGATGCAATCTTAAAACATCTTCAAGTACTTATACACATCAATAGTATCACTTCCACTGGATTATAATTTAGAATCCTAAATCAACTACGACATCGCCTCCATCATTTGAGTCAGAGTATTAGTGTTCACAGTTATAGCATGTGCTACTAATACAGAATTATCATCAATCACCAGTGACGCCAACAAATGCCTAATCAAATCCTTCAATCCAAAAAGAAGCCTATAAGACTATAGGCTTCTTTTCTGCAGTCGATACCAATTATGGTGCATACCTAAACAGTGTAGTAAACCCTGTTTTATACCGCATGATCTCTTCTCTCTCTACACCAACCTAATAAACTTATACTGCATCTATTTTCATGCTGATATGGGAACAAACCACTATGATACCAGAGAAAACCCAAACCATAAATAAAATGGCTACTATTATTGTTGAATTACAAATAGGTTACAACCAAGGTCGCTTAACAATTAAAACAATAACAACACAAACAATAAAAGACACTGTGGATGATGACGAAGGTGGTGGTTGGCTGTTGAACAACAGTTAGAAAGGTAGGTGGTTGCAGTTGGGGAGACAGAGCAAGTATGGCAACGGTTTGAGGGTGTGAGAGGCAGTCCAAGCAGCAGGTGCAGTTGGAGTGCTTTACGACACAATTGGTGGGCAGGGGGAAGGCCGCGGCACCGCCGACAGGCAGGGAAAGTGGCGGAACAGCTTGGTAGAGAAGGGGAAAGGCTGTAGCAATTGTGGGGTTGGGGTCGGCTGGCTGCAGGGTGACATAAAGAAAGGAGATGCCAGATGGCAGTGAGCAAGGGGAAGGCGGAAGCAAGCAAAAGAAGGGAAGATGCACCAACTCGGAGTAGGATACAATTGGAGCATCACCACCTCCTCGGAAACAACCCTACTAAAGGGAGAAGTAATCCACACAGAAAATCGGAAAGCAGACACAACAAGAACTAACCCTAAACTCAAGCGCATAAATAGACCTAGCTAGGACGGAAACAAGAAAGGGAAGCCGACGAGAAATGAAGGAAGAGAAAAGAAATCCCAAATCATAAATAAAATGGCTACTATTATTGCTGAATTACAAATAGGTTACAACCAAGGCCGCTTAACATGTAAAACAAGAACAGAACAAACAATAAAAGGCACTGTAGGATGATGACGAAGGTGGTGGTTGGCTGCTGAGCAACAGTTAGGAAGGTAGATGGTTGCAGGTGGGGAGACACAGCAAGTATGGCAACGGTTTGAGGGTGTGGGAGGCAGTCCAAGCAGCAGGTGCAGTTGGAGTGCTTTAGGACACAGTTGGTGGGCAAGGGGAAGGCTGCGGCACCGCTGACAGGCAGCGAAATGGCGGAACAGCTTGGTAGAAGGGGGAAAGGCTGTACAACTGTGGGGCTGAGGTCGGCTGGCTGCAGGGTGATAGAAAGGAAGGAAGATGGCAGATGGCAGTCAGCAAGGGGAAGGCGGAAGCAAGAAAAAGAAGGAAAGATGCACCAATTCGGAGTAGGATACAGCCGGAGCATCACCACCACCTTCTTGGAAACAACCCTACGAAAGGGAGAATTAATCCACACAAAAAATCGGAAAGCAGACACAACAAGAACTAACCCTAAACTCAAGCACATAAAGAGATCTAGCTAGGAAGGAAACAAGAAAGGGAAGTCGATGAGAAATGAAGGAAGAGAAAAGAAATTCGCTCGATCTGGGCAAGGAAACAAGAAAGGGAAGTCGATGAGAAATGAAGAGAAAAGAAATTCGCTCGATCTGGGAGGGAGACGCGAAAAGAAAGGCCGCTCCGGGTTGCTTGATTCCTGCATCAGTGCCGAAAACTCTGCTCTTGAGTCCATGGGGGAAAGCCCCGCTTCACACTATCTAAAAAGTTTCACAAGATTCTCCCAATTTACCATGTCCCCTAGCCTATCCTAATGTTGCCCACATCAATACCTTTATGCTTCTCCATCCAACACAAATATAGCAAGTGTACTCTCTTTTCACGTGGATATGTAATGTTGTCTAGTATCTTTTTTATCCGTATTAGTCAATTCTCTGCTTCAATCGAACCTTCAGTTCTTTTGAACAAGGGTGGACAGATCTTAAAACATCTTCAGTACTTATCCACAATAATATTATTACTTCCATTGGACTGATTTAGAATGTTGTATCAACTGTGTCATTGCCCCCATCATTCAGTTCAGAGTATTGGTGTTCACAATTATAGCAGGTGATAATTCTTCAATGACTACCTCTTATAATCACCACCAGCTTCAACACAATAAAAGGGCACTCCATATTGAAAGGCCCCTTGTCCCTACAACACCTAAATCTCGAGGGCCTCCTTATTAAAATTTATGCAATTCACTTCCTTTTGTAACCATACCAATCAGGTTCAACTCATCCTTGACATGGGACAAAACCCCACCATCCCGCGTATGCGAGATCAGAATCAGGACGGGAGTTTGTCTCAATGGTCCTATAGCAGGAATTATCCTAAGTGCTAACTGCTGTTGAGCCCTATGGACCACTATTTGTTTTACTTTGATTTATAATTAGAGTTCATTTTCTGACTTGGAATAAATATATTATTTAAGACATGATTTGGGGGATTTCACTTGCTTTAAATTAATAAGACTTGTTTCTCTATTTTTTAGCTTATGAAGTGTTGTATTCGGAGTTTTGTGCAAGTGGTGTGTCTCTAACTTGTTTGATACTAGGAGGTGGATCTTCCTTGCCTCCAGGATCTTGTCGGTGTCATCATTGACGGTTCTTCTTGCTGGCTTTGGACAAGACAGCAGTCGAACCTCTTTATTTCACGTCCAGTCTCCACCAACTTTGCAATACCCTCATTCCCCAATATCTCCACCTTAGATCTGATCCTTAATCACACTCTAAGAATCCTAGAATAATGTCAATCTTATATCAATATTTTGCATGTACCTCACTCTAATTATTATTATTTATTTTCCATTAAGGACAAGTTCATGTCGGTCATCAAGCACATACAGATCGCCAATTGACAGTGTAAAGGGAGGCTGGTATGTGTAGGACAACACAAAGAGAAGATGCATGTGACTGGATTCCACAGTGACATGGGTCATCGCAGACAAGATCATCATATCATACTCATCTCACACGTCAAATAACAACTCTCTTTCATCATAAAGGAGATCAAAGTTATTCCTTCCTTTCATCCTTTCATCCGTGAATGATCATTACACAACTTCTCTATCCTGATACAGAATCTGTTAGGACTTCTTTTCTCTGCAAATTATACAAACGGCGTCTTGGTGGTAATCTTCAAGCTACTAGTATATAAATCTAAATAACAGGTTATATGCAGGGCTCATTCAAGCCGGTTAAAATCTTCGAGTAGAACTTTTACGTATAACAATTTTATCAGCAAGTCATAATAAAGCCCTGAATATTTGAACTTTAAAGCAAACTTCCTCATTGTTAGGTTCCCACTATCACAGGTGATCTTCAGCATGGTAGACTGGAAACTAACGTGAGTGCTTAGCATAATGAATGACTCATGTTTTTCAATACATATTAACTAGGAATCTGGTGAACCTAATCTTCTGAGTTCAACTTTAAAAAAGATGAAAAAATAATAATAATGCTATATAAAGAAAGTAAACCATTTTTGTACTAGCTAAGCAGATGAGAAAAATCGGACCTGTGCATGGAGAGTTGAGGGATACCACAATCTACAGTTCTGATTCCAACTCCAGATGCAAGTATAGGACCAATGGTAGAACCACACCCCATATCATTTCTTACAACAAATTCCTACACCAAGTCAGCGTGTTAGAACATCATTCATCATTCAAAATAAAAAAAAGATTTTAGTGTTTCTTATATTTCAGAAAGAACCCCGCAAGAATCCCAAATCTAACAGAGATCTACAATGAGATAGCAACGCAACTATAGTGAAATGTAGCTGAGACTCCATCCCAACAGAAGAGTCACCTGCATGGATTTAAGAATATAAAGGTTTTTTTCTTATGCAGACATTTTACTTCATTAGTAAGAAAGCCACCAAACAAACAGAATTCAGAATCTAGATCAATAGAAGGGTATCAATGTCCCCTATAAATTTAGGAGAGAATTTGTGTGAGATAATCATATGAGAATTAGGTCTTTCTATGTGATAACAAACAAACAAAAAAGAAGATAAAAAATGGAAATGAACAGGTCCTTACAAAAAGAAAGCTGGGAGGAGATAGACAAGATTGAGAAGAAGAAGCTGACGATTAGAATTTGAGCAAACCAAACATCTTATATTATAAATATATTAAGTGTCCCATAACATGAGACTAGAAACCACATATATAAACTCAAGGCTCCATGCATGCCTAAAATGCATTAAGATTATTACGGAAAGAAACTAATGCGTCCTTGATATAGATCCCTAAGAACGAGTTGCTCGATGTCTCTGTGCTAGGGTTTACTCCCTGGGGTTTCCTCCCGTCGCGTCTTCATGGCGACCCGAGTAGCCCTTGTTATCTCTTCGCCGGATCGAAATCGCAGCCTGCTTATTCATCATACTTCGTCGTTTGCTCGGCTTCGTCTGTCCCTTCGTCGCGCTTCGTCTGCCTCGAATTCGCTGCGTCAAATTCGTCTGCTCGACTTCGTCTGCTTTGACTTCGCCTCCCTCGGCTTCGCGACTCCGTCTGCTGCATCATTTCCACGTCGTACTTCGTCGTGCCTTGACGAAATCGCAGTCTTCATCGTCTGCGGCGTTTTCTTCGTCAAGGCCGATAGACTGCTCCCCCCC